AGGGCTGACTTAAAAATTTTGCAGTATTATTTATCTGATGTTAATAATGTGCTACTTTTGTTTATAGTTCCTGGATAAACACACTACTTTTAGCATAAATCTAATTGCAGCATGTTGTTTTATTGTAAATTTTATTTTTAATTTTTACTTACTTTTTAATTTTATTGGGGTGACATTGGTTGACATGATCATATAGGTTTCAGGTGTGGGTTTCTATCTTTATTGTAAAATTTAAAAATACTATCTAAGAAAATCTAGCAATTTAAATTGTTACAAATTTGTTGTTTAATTATTCAAGGTCTAATTGAGCTCATCTTGTTTTATGTTTTACATTTTTTATGTTTATTGATTTTTGCTAGGGATTATCTTCAAGTTTTTAAAAAGTATTCTCTATTTCTACAATTTTTAATATTAAGAACAAAGCATTATCATTTGAATGTTCCATATAGAAGTTTTTGATACAGTCTTGGTTTCTAAGACAAGATTGTTGTTAAAACTTAATTGTCACATTTTTTAAAACTTATGTTTTCAATTAACTTAATAAAATACGTACAACAAATAGTTTTACTCAGTTTCACCTCTTGGTCACTCTATACCAGAATTTCCTAATTAATTCCTAAGTTCTAGATCTTTTATTTCTCAGAATTCATCTTAATGTTTAAGTACTTGTGGAGGGTATAGTTTTCATGACTTTGCCATACTGAGAATGGGACAGTCTAATTATCATGACAGAAAGAATCATTAGCTGGGTTTAATATTTTTATTTCCTGAAATGTAGTAGGACAAGCTTCATTGTTTTAGGCTGACATTACATGATGTAAAGTAGAAGTCTGATGCCAACCTGGCATGCAGATGCTTAAGCAGCACTTGGTAGTCGGTGTCAGGATACTCAGAGGCCAGCAGAGTAACCCATGGTTTCCAGTCAGAGAAATGCGTTCTCATCTGGAGGTGACAACCATGACATATGCTGCCGGGTTTTCGTGAGGTTTAAATGAAAAAATGTATCCCAGAACTGGTTCAGATTAGGTGCACAGTCGGGGAACACAGTCGGGGGCATCAGACCTGGGATAATTTCCACTCCACCACGCATCTGGGGACTGGAAGAAGCCATGTAACTTCTGAGCCCCCTTCCCCATCTGAACAATGTGATTAATAGTGCCTGTCTTGCTTCCCTCAGTCTCATGGGCAATGCTGAAGGAAATGATAAAAAAGATAAAGGGTCCCCGTGGAAAAAAACATGGACTGAAATTTATAAAACCTGGCTTTGATACTTGTTAGCTCTGCAACTTACGCTACTAAAACACACTTTCTTTCTGTCTAAAATGAAAGAGTTCAATTAGTTTATTTTTTATGCTTTTCTTGTTAATAGTGATAAATTTGTAGAAATTCTTTTAATGTCCATACAGGATTAAAATAATCGCATAGCTATAATTTTAGGCCTGTCAGTACTAAGAATACTTTGCACCAAAACTTTTGTCCATCTTCTGAATAATCACTTCATTCTGCTTTTTTGTATCTAAAGCACTTGGCTGCATTTAGGAACACTCTAAGCTTTCATCAGGGTTCTGCTAATGAGTTCAGCTCTCTTCTGTCACCCATTTTGGTGAGGTAGGAGGGGTGGGGTAACTGAAGACCAGCTTGCCTGCTCTCCTAAGTTTATCCCACACATCGGTGGGTTAATCTGTCATGTACATTCATAGGAATGAAAATGCTGGTTTTGGACAGGAACTTCTAGACTCTGCAACCATGACAACCATCTCCGGGCTCTCCATTTCATAAATGTCACACCTGTAGTACTTGCAAGGGCCTTGGAGTTCTTCCCATCCAGCCCCTCAATTTTCAAATGGGAGGCTGGGGCCCAGAGAAGCAGCTTGCTAGAGGCCACTGTAATTGAGCAGAGAAAATCCAAAGTCTGGACACGTTGCGTGCAGTGTGCCCAGTTCTCCTATAGCAGTGGTTCTCAACCTTGGCTGCACATTAGAATCACCTGGGAATTTTTTTAAAATCCTGATTTCCGGGCCTCATCCTCCGGAATTTCTGTTTCTTTGTTATGGGGTGGGGCCACAACATTAGTAACAAAGAAACAGAATTTCCGGAGGATGAGGCCCGGAAATCAGGATTTTAAAAAAGATTCCCAGGTGATTCTAATGTGCAGCCAAGGTTGAGAACCACTGTTCTAGGTGAATTGCCAGAAAGAACATATTCGCTGTCTCTCTTACATGTCTAGCTGGCACAATTGCAAGACCTGCCCTTCTCACTTCTTTCTACTCTTCAGCTAGAAGCAGAACATGTCGCACTTTAT